GGGGGGGGCAACTTTCCTTTAATGACCATTTGGTATATGTTTTAAACTTTGGTTTAAGAGTGTTCTTCAAAGTTGTTTTGGTTATATTGCAGTAGAATTTTCCCTGTGGTAAGCACAGCGGGATAACCTTTGAGTAGTGTGCTGAGGACCCAGGATTTGTCGTGCACTGGTGTCCGGAAGCTCACCAGAGCTGACATTTTCCTTTCCTGTTGTCTGTCAGCAGGGTGCTCCCTGTTGTGGTTCACAGCCTGAAGCCTGGGTCTTGTCCTCTATGCCAGTGTTGTACCATCTCTTAGAAGTGAAGGCAGTGCAGGCCATGCTTGCTTTAGTGTGAGGGGAGCCGTCAGCTTTTCTGTGTTTCTTCCAATCTGATTCTTCCCATCTTAATATGACGGTTGATATTTAAAAAGATATCCCTCTACCAAAACATAATTTCATCAGGGTATGTTTAGAATTTGTAGTTGATGTTCACTTGTTCTCAGAGATGCAAAATGAAATAGAATAAATTAACGAAGTCACTCTAAAGTGTCTTTCACTGCTATTTTTCAAGTCCTTTAGGGTTTCTATGGAAACAGCATCATGCAGATGATCTTACCACATAGCATGAAAGAATCCAGGTAGCAGAAATCATGTTGGTCCCCATCAATAATTACTGAATAGCTAACTTTTATTAGCCAAGCCACCAAATTTATATGATAATGTACACTGGATTTGGTGATAGCAGCACTTTAGTAGATGGGTTTGTTGTGGGAGTGGATTTGTGCCTCTGTCATACACATCGCAGAACAGCTTCCGGGAACGCTGTCCTTCCACCATGTGGGTACTGTTTCCAACTCAGGTTGTCAAGCTTGGCAGCAAATGTGTTTACTCCCTGAGCCATGTTGCTGTCTCAACAGCCCGTGTTTTTAGTGGAAATGCGAGTGGCACACTATGTAATTCCAGCAGTCAGGCAGCTACAGCAGGACGGATACCAGACGCTCAGGGCCAGCCTGGGCTTATTCTAAAAGAAATCCTTTCCCTACTCTGAGATGCTGCTCTTTGCCAATGTGTGGCCTAGCAGGAGTAGCTACTCTTTGTGGTGGTTAGCTTATTTTTAGGCTTGGTTTGATTTCAGTTTTTGTTTTGTTTTTGTTTTTTGGTTGTTGTGGGTTTTTGTTTGGTTTTTTGTTGGAATTTTTAGTTTGTATTGGTTTGTGGATTTTGTTTTTGTTTTGTGATTGTTTGGTTTTGTTTGTTTGGTTGGTTTTTTTGAGGTGTGGTCTTTATAGCCTAGATTGCCTGGAATTTAAGATAATTCTGTTCCAGCCTTCAAGTGCTAGGATGGCAGGCAGTATATCATGCCCAGCCTACCTCATTTTCAAAGCCAGTGTCACTCCATGACCTCCTGCCCCTGTTCGTTTGTGTTTCCAGGCTAAGCATGGGGAGCAGCATGAGGGCCAGTTCTATAGCATCCCCCTCCAGGATCTGAAGACAGTATTTCCTCATGGCCTGCCTCCTAGGTACATGATGCAGGTAGGTGCTCATACAGAGACCAGAACAGGGAAGCCTGAAGTACTACTGTTGTCGGGGAAAGGATTAAATGAGAGACCTAGAAGCTTAGACATTTCTGAAGGACAGAAATTCAGCTATGGACTTGTGAACACTACAGTGACTACTGTTGACCTTTTGTTAGAACTTAAATACATTGTAGGACCTGGTAAGTATTCTTTTATAAGCAGTACCCTTTTTCGTGAATTACTGAGCAAGATTCCTGGAATTGTGGCATTCAGATCATTATTTTAAGTGAATTTAATGTAGGTATTTTGGCACATAACTATAATCCCAGCACTTGAGAGTCATCAGTAGAAGACTTGCTTCAAGTTTGGGGTCAGTTTGGACTGTGTGTTGAGTAATAGGCCAGCCTGGACTACAGTAAGGGGTCCAAGTGCCAACCCTTGTTTGTGGTGGCACACACCTGCCAGCCTAGTGCTCCGCAAGTGAGAAGTTGAATGATCTTCAGGGTCCTCGTTGTCTGCACAAGAGATCTTGTGTTATGTTAAAAAAGCAAGAGAAAAATGGAAAAAAATGTATGTGTGTGGTAAGTGCAGGGTACTGCTTATAAAAGAATATTTACCAGGTTCTACAATGTATTTAAGTTCTAACAAAAGGTAAACATTAGTCACTGTAGTGTTCACAAGTCCATAGCTGAATTTCTGTTCTTCAGAAATGTCTAAGTTTCAAAATTTTTAGTTCATTATTAGCAGACACCATTGCTCTGGGTTGTAGTGCCATGGTGGACATATGGAATCGTGGCAGAAGAACATGGCAGACACAGATTGCCCACCTCTTGGAAGTGAGCTGACCTCAGTGCACATGCTTCCCTGGTTAGGCCCCATCTTGCAGCGATGCCTTCAGATTTTGAATCTGTCTTTGGCCCACAAGAGCTAGCACTTTTCAAAGCCCTAGCTCTGACTGTTGACTGGGAGCTGCCTTCAGATACATGAGGCTTTGGGAAGCAGATCACACCCAAGCTATAGCTTGTGTACTTCTTTTCCATGATCCCATTTATACGAAGGCCTCCTCCTGCTGGTCTTTATTTTTTGTCTGTCATGTTGCCTGATAATACATTTCTGCTCCATTTGTCTTTATTTCATTTGCATGGTACAGTTTGGGCTTGTTGGGTCCTACACCATAAGTTTGGTTTGTTTGGAGAAGGAGAGGTCTTTTTATAAAAAACAATAGCACTGGATTTAAGGGTCTAAGTTAGTAGTGTAGAGCGCTTGCATTAATTTGCCTGGTGTGCATAAAGCTCTGGATTTCACCCCATCCTCACAACATTAAGTACATGTAAAGAAGCATCGGGCTGGAGAGATGGCTTAGCGGTTAAGAGCAGTGGCTACTCTTCCAGAGATCGAGTTCAATTCCCAGGATCCACATGGTGGCTCACAACTATCTGTAATGAGATCTGGTGCTTCTTCTGTCATTCATGCAAATAGAACATTCATATACATAAAATACATAAATAAATTTTTTAAAATAATCATCAAAAGCTACCTATTTATGTTACTTGATATGAAACAATGTACCTCAGATTTTAGCTAAAATACATGGACTGATTTCAAATTCGGTGCCAACCCAGCCTGTCATAACTACATTCAGATGAGCAGAGGTGTGTGGTGTCAGTCTCAGTGTGCACACGGTTAAGAATGACTAGAAGTTCACGCCCATCTCCTTCCTTCTCCTTTTTGCCTAGGTGAAGACTTTCGGTGAAGCTTGTCTGATGGTTAGGAAGCCAGCTCTAGAGCTTCTGGGTTACCTGAAAAATACCAAGTTCACTCACCCTGCTGTGCGGTATCTTCTCTGTATCCTTTCCGATATGCCTGGGTCCTCTTACGTTCTCCCCTCCTTTGGGAGAAGGAGATGCTGGGTTTGGGACAAGGTCTTGCTGTGTATCAGTGGCTGGCCTGGCGTGAAGCGCTGTGGGTGGGGAATGCTCACGACGATGTTTTCTTTGACACACACTTTAGATGGGGAGAAGGGAACAGGAAAAACTCTCAGTCTTTGCCATGCTGTTCATTTCTGTGCAAAACATGACTGGCTGGTTCTGCATATCCCGGATGGTATGAGCTTCCTGTGTATCTTCTCTGTGACTCCCTAAGAGATCATGGCCATGCTATAGTGCCCACAATAACTCTGAATTCTTGAGCTGAAACAAACCCCTTCTGCCTGCCTCCCTTTCACAAGGGCCAGCTACAGCCACTTACCACTTTTTGTCCTGTAAGTTACTATTTTGAGTATCTGCAGAGCCTGCGCAGTCCTCCACACTTTGAATCGGAGTTCTTCATTGTGGATCTGAACCCTCGCACCACCATCTGCTGTCAATTGTCCAGTGTTGGTGAACCCACACTTTCTAATCTGCCTTTAAAAATTGGCGGAAATCTTGCCAGGCATAGGCACATCCTAATTCCCGCACTTGGGGGCAGAGCGGCGGGTGGGTCTCTGGGAGCTCGAGGCCAGCCTGACCTGGCCTATAAAGTGAGTAGGACAGCTAGGACTGTTAAGAGAAACCCTGTCTCAAAAAAAAAAAAAAAAGAAAAAGGCAGTATTCTGGGTGGTAGTGGTGGTACATGCCTTTAATCTCAGCAGTTGGAATGCAGAGGTGGACTGATCTCTGTGAGTTTAAGACCAGCTTGGTCTACATGCTGAGTTCCAAGACTGCCTGCTAGGGCTATGCAAAGGAAGCTGTGTGGGTGCTGCGAACTGAACCTGGGTTCCAAGCAAGGGCAGCCAGTGCTTCTAAGCATTGTGCCGTCTGTCCATCCCATGCATGACTCTTCAAATTAGAGAAAAACTTATTAAAATAAGATATGGACATATTTTCTTCTGTGCGATGGTACTGGGGACTGATCCTTTATGTTCTTGATATTTGAACACTGCATTATAATCAGTATATAAGATACTGAGTGGACTGTCATGTTGACTCACTACCAATTTTTATTTACTTATTTTTAATTTAATTTTTTTCTTTTTAAATAAGTCTGCAAAGTCTGTCATCACGTGAGGCAGGACCAAGGTCCTCTCCCCTGTATCTAAGCGAGGCAGAGAGGTTTCCAAAGAGCCAGAGGACACACTGGGGACGAACCCTTTCCCCCTGCTGTGGTCCGGAGTTGGTGAGCTCCCAGTAGCTCAGGTCAGTTGTCTCTATATGTTTCCCCATCATGGGCTTGGCCCCTTTGCTCATATTATCGCTCCTCCCTATGACTGGACTCAAGGAGACTCAGCTGTGGATCTTTCCATCTGTTTCCATCAGTTACTGGATGAAGATTCTGTGATGACAGTTAGGGTGGTCATCAGTCTGACTACAGGGGAGGGGCATTTTAGATCCCCTCTCCGCTATTTTAGACTCTTAGCTGGCCCCATCCTAGTGGATTCTTGGAATTTTCCCTAGTGCCTGGTTTCTCGCTAACCCTACAATAGCTCCCTCAATCAAAACATCTCTTTCCTTGCCCTCTTTCTCTGCCCTTTACCCAACTCAATGTTCCTAATCGCTCATGTTCTCCTCCCTGCCCCTAACTACTTTCCCCCCACACTGCCAGTTTACTAAAGAGATCTTGTCTGCTTGCCCTTCCCAGGGGATCCATGTCTATCTCTCTTAGGGTCCTCCTTGTTTCCTGGCTTCTGGGGTTGTGGACTGCAGGGCTGGTTGTCCTTTACCTTATGTCTAATGTCCACTTACGCTGTGTTTGTCTTTCTTTGTCTGGGTTACCTCACTTCTATGCATTTTTTTAAGCTCATCTTTGGGTGAAGAACTGCCGGGAGCTTCTGCAGTCCACCTACAACAGACAGCGCTTCGATCAGCCCCTAGAGGCGTCCACCTGGCTGAAGAACTTCAAAACTACCAATAAGCACTTCCTGAGCCAGGTGACTGTCTGCTAGGAACTGAGTGCAGGATGATGACCTTTGTCCAGATTCCATCTTTGCACCTTGAGTAGCTGGGTGCTATGGAGATTTGACATTGCAATTAGTAACAAATAAGCCATTTTGTATCCCCTTAATATTTTAGCTCACAGTGGACTCACAGCTTAAAGTTGGGCAGCTCTGAGTTGTTCATTGAGTAGTTAGGAAATAACAGTCTGCCTGATTCACTGGTTCTTGGAGAACCTTGAATCCTCCACAAGCACATGGCCAGCAATAAGGTTTTCCTTGAGATAAACCAAAAGCGTGAAAGTAAGATTTCATTCCAGTCTTATCTTACTTTATTTCATTTCCTTTGTAGTTTGGACTGGCTCTGGGCCTACTATGTACCCCAAGGTGACCTTGAACTTACAGTCCTTCTGCCTAGCCCCAGAATGCATAATCCCCAGCCCTCTGGCTTCTTAGCTTGAGCCCCAGCTGCAGCGAGAGTGCGCTGACAGATGAGCTCAGCGGGTGGCACGCTGGCCGCTGTGCCGCTCAACCTGACGTGGAAACCATGTACACATCACAAGTAAATAAAGGTATTTTAGGGAATGTGAATGCCAGCTAGATGTTGGTACCTCGGGCCTTTCATCACACACACACTTAGAGGCATAGGCAGCTTGGTCTGCAGGGCTAGTTCCAGGACAGCCAGGGTTACACAAGGAAACCCTGTTATGAAAACAACAACAACAAAGGAAATAAGGAAAATGAGAATGCCAAGACTTGGTATAGCTCAGTAGAGAGCACTTACCTAGTACGCTGGAAGCTTGGGATGTGATGAGCACCATAGGGTGTGCGGGGTGATGGCAGTGCCCTGTTTGGACCTTCTTAGCCACAAGGGCCAGGCGTGGTAGTTCACAACTTTATTCCCAGCACATAGAAATCTGAGACGGGGTAATTGTTTTTTTGTTTGTTTGTTTGTTTTCGAGACAGGGTTTCTCTGTGTAACAGCCTTAGCTGTCATGAAATGAACTCCTGTAGACCAGGCTGGTCTCGAACTCACAGAGATCCGCCTGTCTCTGCCTCCAGTGCTGGGATTAAAGGCGTGCAGCACCAGCACCTGGCAAGAGTAATTGCCCTATGGTGGAGGACAGCCTGAGCTAAAGTATGAGACCCAGTCTCAAACCCAACCCCTTAAGTAAAAAAATTAAGCTCCTGGAAGAGAGCCTGGAGGTCTGGTTTACACCTTGCGCCCCCTGGTGGTCCAGCTGAGCCCCATGGGCCGCCATCCTGACGGGAAAGGCTTCAGCTTGTTTCGTTTCTCTCTCTGCCTCCCTTTAGATAAAAGTTCAGGGGAAGTATATTTGGAACAAGAGGGAAAGCACTGAGAAGGGCAGTCCTCTGGGAGAAGTTGTTGAACAGGGCATAACACGCGTGAGGAATGCCACAGACGCCGTTGGGATCGTGCTGAAGGAGCTCAGGAGCCAGAGTTCCGAAGGACACTTCCGCCTCCTGGTAGCAGTGGATGGGGTCAATGCCCTCTGGGGAAGGACCACGCTGAAAAGAGAAGATAGGACCCTGGTAGGAATATTTGTTTGCTCTGATTCTGTCACACACAAGGCCTGCTGCGTTCTTAGGTGGGCCACCTAGGATGCTTTTTTGCCCTGGAGTTTAAATTACGTTTGGAGCTGGAACAACAGCTGTGTAGTTCCTCTTGCTGAGGACCCAGGTTGGTTCCTGGTCCCCAGATGGCAGTCCAGAACCATCCATAACTGTGGACCAAGCACTCATGCAGTAGACGTACATACAGTTAGGAAAAATATTCATAACATAAAAATAAACAAAGCTTACTGGGTGGTGGTGGCGCGCTCCTTTAATCCCAATACTCGGGAGGCAGAGGCAGGCGGATCTCTGTGAGTTGGAAGCCAGCCTGGTCTATAGAGCAAGTTCCAGGACAGGCTCCAGAGCTACTGAGAAACTCTGTCTCGATAAACCAAAAAAAAAAAAAAAAAAAAAAAAAAGAAAAGAAATAAAGAAACTAAGTCTTTAAAAACAACAACAACAAAGATAGTGGAAACAAGCCAGCAGGAGCTCTGGAGTGAGCACATGCTGCCAAGTACCTACACTATAAAAAAGAGGGAGGAAGACAGTGAATTAGCTTCAAAAAAGAAAAGAAGATGTGTCAGCTGAGCAGTGGTAGCTCACACTTTTAACCCCAGAGCAGGCTCCAGAGCTACACAAAGAAACTGTCTTGAAAACCCAAAAAAAAGAAAGTAGGAAAGATGTCTTAGTTGGCAACTTTTTTATTCTTTTTTGTTGTTATTGTTTGTTTTCTGAGTCAAGGTCTCTCTCTCTCTCTCTCTCTCTCTTTTCTCCGAGACAGGGTTTCTCTGTGGTTGTGGAGCCTGTCCTAGAACCAGCTTTGTAGGCCACACTGCCTCTGCCTCCAGAGTGCTGGGATTAGAGGTGTGTGCTGCCACCGCCCAGCTCAGTAGGCCTTCAGTTGCTGTGATGAAGCACCATGACCCAAAGCAACTTGTGGGTGAAAGGACAAACCCATATCACAGTTGTCCCTGAAGGAAGCAGAGGACGTGGAGGAGCGATACTTACTAGCTCTCTCCTCCTTGCTTGCTCAGTTTTCCCAGTACTTAAGGCGCCAGTCCTAGAACTCGCTCTATAGACTAGGCTGACCTCGAACTCAGAACAACTCACCTGCCTCTCCCTTCCTGAGTGCTGGGATTAAGGGTGTGAGTCACCACCACCCACTTCAGTTTGTTTTCTTTACAGCCCAGGGCCACCTGTCCACAGATGGCACCACCCACAGTGCTGCTCTCCCTCTCCCCTATCAATCAGTAACCAAGAAAATGTCCTACAGGCTGTGGCTGGGCCAGTCTGATGACAGAGTTGACAGAAGACTACCCAGCACATGATGTTCCGTGCTCCGTCGTGCGTTGTTGAAAAGAACAGGACAGCGGGAGCCCCAGGAGCTTTGCTTTCTTCCTTGGTTCTGCTATTTTCTATGTAGAGATCAGAAATATGAAGGGAGGAAGGTACACTTGGAACAGTCATCCTCTCTCTTCCTACCTGCCTCTTCCTCTCTTTTCTCCTCACCTCTCTTACTCCAGAGGATGAATATTCTCGTACTGTGATTACAGTAGTTAAAAACTTTTCGTTTAGCCAGGCAGTGGTGGCACACACCTTTAATCCCAACAGTAGGGAGGCAGAGACAGGCTCCAAAGCTACAGAGAAACCCTGTCTCCAAAAAACAAAACAAAACAAAACAAAAAAACCCAATAAAGTAATCTAACAAGAAATTAAAAACAAAGAAACAAAAATTTTTTAAAAAAAGGACATTGGAGGCAGGCACAGGAGGGACAGGCAGCCCAGGCACCCAGTGTCAGGTGAGAGGGACTGGAGCCTGGGGTTGCAGAGCTCAGTTTACTTCTGCCTCCCAAGAGTGGGATAAAAGGCAGTGTACCTTCATGCCTAGCACACACAAAGTTTTGTTTTGTTTTAATGGAAATAAAATAAACAGGAAGGAGAAAGACAGTAAAAAAGCTTAATCCGAGCACTCAGGAGGCAGAGGCAGGCGGTTCTCTGTGAGGCCAGCCTGGTCTACAAGAGCGAGTTCCAGGACAGGCTCCAAAGCTGCAGAGAAACCCTGTCTCCACCCCCCCCAAAAAAAAAAAAACCTTAACCTTTTATCTAATTGTCCATTCAATTTTCTCAGGAAACAGCCAGAAAAGTAAAGTCCTAATCTCTTTGCTCTCTTGTTGGTAACATGTAGATTGCCCCGGAGGAGCTATCCCTTGTCCACAGCCTAAGGAAAATGGTGAAAAACGATTGGGTGAGTGCCCGAGATCCTCAAGACGCACAGAGGAAAGTGCGTTGCCATCTTTACTGTTCTTTTATTTTACTGTTCATAGTTGTATAGAGTGACCCTGTGGAAAGTTCCTTTGCTGACTAGTGTGTGTCTGTCTGTTTCTTTTTCTTTGTTTTTTAAGACATTAAAATTTTGCCAGGCAGTGGTGGTGCACGCCTTTAGTCCCTGCACTTGGGAGGCAGAGGCAGACGGATCTCAGACCAGGTTGGCCTCAAACTCACTATCAAGTGAGTTCCAGGACAGTTAGGACTGTTACACAGGAAAACCCTGTCTTGAAAAACAAACAAACAAATACTATAATTTGTATTTCATGCTGGGTCTCACTGTATAGTCCTGGCTGACCTGGAACACACAGAGCTCCGCCTCCTGGATGCTGAAAGTTAAGGCCTGAACCATGAAGCCCGCAGACAGCTAGATAGATCACTTTACAACTCACTCTGCCTCCACGTTCAATTCCTCTGCTTAACTCGGTTGCTTAAAGTGGTAGGCTTGTTGGCATTGCAGAAGAAATTGTAAGGCAAAAGTATACTGTGGTAACCTTAAGGTCTTTAGTGACTTATTATCAGAGCCAAATCAAGAAGCAATAACTGATTTGTTGCCAATTAATTATGCTAAACTGTGCTGTCATGACACTTGTGGGTAATATCTGCGGAGGACTGTGGGTGTCTGTCATTTCCATCTTTATAAAATTCAACTGTTTTTCTTTTTTTCAGCATGGAGGTGCAATTGTGTTGAGTTTGAGCCAAACCGGGTCTCTCTTTAAGTCCCGAGCAGCATATTTGCCACACGAGCTTCTGGGAAAGGTCACGTTTTTCTGTTTCCTTTAGAGTAACCATCTGTCTAGAGCAGGAATTCTCAACCTGTGGGTCCCTACCCTTTTGGGGTTGCATACCAGGTATTTCCATTATCATCCGTAACAGTAGGAAAATCACAGCTGTGAAGCAGCAACAGAAGTAACTTTATGGTTGGGGTCACCACAATTTAAGGAACTCTTAAAGGGTCATTGCATTGGGAAGGTTAAGCACTGCTCTAAAGACTGTCTCTTATGTTTTATTTTGGAGGTGGGCTCACATGCTATGGCACACGTGTGGAGGTCCGAGAACAGCTTGCAGGAATCCGTTCTCTTGTACGGTGCGGGTTCTGGGCGCTAACACTGGTCATCGAGCTAGCTGGCAAGGACCTTTATGTTTTGAGACATCTTACCAATCTTATGTCTCCTAATTTTTTAGATTTATTTATTTTACTTTATATGTCTGAATGCATGTATGTGTCTGTTGGATCCCTTGGAAAGGGGATGACAGATGGGCGTACCACCGTGTGGGTGCTGGACCTCAATCATGGCGGCTCTCCAGTACCACGTGGTCTCTGATGAGCATCTCTCCAGCCTCTATGTCTCTCTTTTATTTTATCTTGTTTGGAGACATTGATCCCTCTGTGTAGCCCTAGCTGTCCTGGAACTCCCTATTTAGGTCAGGCTGGCCTCAAACTTGCAGAGATCCTCCTCCCGCTTCTTTTTAAATATGTTTGTGGCTATATAAGAAGTCAGTAGCCAACATGTAGCCATCTTCTGTGAGGCAGGAAGGCCGAGTGGGCTGGGCGTAGAGCTGAACGGAAGAAAGGCCCTGTCCTCAGCACAGGTGGTCTCAGCTCATTTCCTGTTAGACTAACACTGCGCCTTTTATCCTTTTCCTCTCCAGGAAGGATTTGATGCCTTAGATCCTTTTCTTCCCATCCTCATTTCCAACTATAACCCAAAGGAGTTTGAAAGTTCTTTCCAGTATTATCTAGAGAATAATTGGCTTCAGCATGAGAAAGGTCAGTCGTGCTGCACTGCTCACTGCACAGTCTGCTGAGTCAGTGCGCAGGGCATTTTGGTATCACCATGACTGGGTACCCGAGGCTTAATTTGGACTCACAGCTTCCGAAGCGTCAGCCGTGACCACTTGGCTCCATGATCTTTCATGTGTAGGAGCAGGCAGGAAACCGAGAGGCAGAGAGAAAGGAAAGGCCTGGAGAAAGTGTGGCCCTCAAGGATACTCTGGCAAGAACCTGCTCCCTTCTGCTGAGCCACTAATCCTACAAGTTCTTAGAGCCCCCCAGAAATAGAGCCACCAGCTGTGGGCCCAAGCACTGAGTGCATGCTCCAATCAAACCGTACCACAGCCCTGGCTCTTGATCCTCAGCAGCGACCTGTATTTTGTATTTCCTTTTTTTTCCTTTTGACTTTTTCTATATAATAAGAGAATACTATTTGAAAGTGGCTGCATTTTAATTTACAAAAGAAAATTATATTTCTGCTTAAATTCTCACCTTGTCCAGAACAAATCATCAGTGCTAAAGAAGGAAACAATTTTCCGGCCAGCTCCTGGGTAGTTTCCACATGTCTAGGCTGCAGCCATTCACACTGGGGCGCACTCACTCCGTGGGCTCACATCAAAGACAGCAGTGCTGAGACACTCAGAAGAGGTGATACTATTTGAGATGTTATCACCAAACCAGATCTTTGCTATCTCTGTCCTTTTTCTTTTGTTTTTTAAGGCAGTGTCTCACTGTGTGTCTGTGTTTGTCTCACACTTGGGCTACTGTCTGCGCCTCCTGAGCTGAAGTCTCAGCACATATCCACACCTGGGTTTAAAAGCTCTTAACTCTTTTTAAGTTTTTTTTTAAATATTCTTTTATTTATTATGTATACAATATTCTGTCTGTGTGTATGTCTGCAGGCCAGAAGAGGGCACCAGACCTCATTACAAATGGTTGTGAGCCACCATGTTTGTTGCTGGGAATTGAACTCAGGACGTTTGGAAGAGCAGGCAATGCTCTTAACCACTGAGCCATTTCTCCAGCCCCATTTTAAGTTTTTTAAGACAGAGTTTTTCTATAGCTTTGGAGCCTGTCCTGGAACTGGCAGTTATAGACCAGGCTGGCCTCAAACACCAGAGATCCGCCTGCCTCTGCCTCCTAAGTGCTGGGATTAAAGGCGTGCGCCGCCCCCGTCCAGCTCAGAAGCTCTGGACTCTTAATGGCAGATCTGATAACTTGCATTGAAGGCACTCTAGTTATTTGTGTGTCTGCTTCACATCGTGTAGATAAGTAAACTGCTTTATCCCTGAATAATAGGGAGCCAGTAATGACTGCTGTGGTCCCAGTTCACACTGGCAACATGAGACTGAGTCACTGCCTAGCATGTGCCAAGCCCTGGATTTGATCTCTAGCCCCACCAAAAGCAAAGTTTAAGCTAATAGAATAAGAGTGCAGCATTGTGGTGAGCTGGAGGTGGAGGGGCAAGAGCTCGGGGTTGGTAGGGGGTGATGAGCTGAACAGGAAGCCCTGGCTACAGTTGGGAGTAGGAAAAAGCTGTCATTTGTGTGTGTTTGACTGTTTCAGCTCCAACGGAAGAAGGGAGAAAGGAGCTGAAATTCCTGAGTAATTGCAACCCCGGCCAGCTGGAGCGGCTCTGCGCTGCCTTGTAAGCACCAGTGCCTGACACAAGCGGAGCGGCCTGACCTGCAGTGACGACAGCCGCATTAAAGGCAGATGTGCTCTCTAAGTGACCTGCAGTGACCTGCAGTGACGACAGCCGCATTAAAGGCAGATGTGCTCTCTAAGTGACCTGCAGTGACCTGCAGTGACGACAGCCGCATTAAAGGCAGATGTGCTCTCTCTAAGTGCTGTGTGAGAGTTGTGACAAGGAAAACGCACACACTGAGCAAATTGAATTTCTCTGCAGTTGTGTTTGTCGGCCTCAGCAGAAACTCGGTTCTCCAGAATTGCTCATTGTCCGTCTTCTGAATATACATTAGTTCAGGAGACCATGGTTCTCTGCCTTCTGAACATACATTAGTTCAGGAGACCATGGTTCACGGCCTGTTCCACTGTTCCAGGAACTTCTCACTCCCTGTTCTTCCTACCTTCTTGATTCTGTAGAATGTCACTGAAGCCCTAGCAGCGTTCTGACGGTTTGGTGTGGTTTGCCCCCTTCCCACAAGTTGCTGAGAGAATTGAGCACCTGCTACTGCATACATGCTATATGAGTTAAACCAACACAGACAGAATTATATTTACGTACACATCTTCAAAGAACTACAGAAAGAAATGACTCAGTTTACATTTTTATTATTATTATTATGTGTGCATACGCCACAGCACAAGTGGAGGCCTGAGGACAACTGTTGGAAGTCGGTCCTCTCCTTCCATGTGTATGTGGCTGTAGCACAAATTCTAATTGACATTAGTAAAACTCCAGAGTCAGATATGCATGGTGGCACATGCCTTTGATCCCAGTGCTCGCGGGGGGGCCCCCCCCCCCCGGCGGGGAGGGCAGAGGCCAGCCTGGTCTACAGAGTTCCAGGATAGTCAAAGATACACAGAGAAACCCTGTCTTGAAAAAACAAGCAAAAAACCCTGAGTTACATATAAGGGTTAAAGCTGAAAGCTCAGAGAAGCAGAGTAGCCAACCACTAGAGAGTTCTCTACGCGGGGTGATCTTGTCTTTACGAATCCTCAGACTGAATCTACAAAACCTGAGTCTACAGCTGTTCCTGTCTCCCCCCAGCCTTGTATATCATTCCTGTTTCCACTCCCTAGTGCTGGGATCACCTTTGTGTGAGCTTTCTTACCTCTTTTAGACAGATTCAATCTGTAGTCCAGGGTAGGCCTTGAACTCAGAGATCTGTCTGCTTCTGTCTCCCAAGTGCTAGGTATTAAAATTGTGTGCCACCACTGCCTGGCCTCTATGGCTAACTAGTGGCTTAGCTCTGCACTCTGATCTTCAGGCAAGCTTTATCTGTTAGATACAAACAAAATATTGCTACATGTGGGTTTGAGAACATTGTCAGACTTGTCATGTCACGTGGCAATTCCATTACACACTTAGCCATGCCATCTCACTAGCCCCAAAAGACTGATTTGTTTTCATTTTTGAAACCAAATCTCATGTAGCCCAGGGTGCCAGAACTTTCTATGTAGGCAACTCAGGATTCTCCTGCCTCCACCAGTGTGAAGGATATATGTACCATTCCCAGTGAGAATTCAGTATATTTCCATATTTCCCACTTATTAGTCATTTGCGTTTCTTGCTTCACCTCATCTTGTCTTGGATGGCCAAGTGCTTTATTTGAATGGTTTTCTGTGAGAGCTGCACCCTGTGGTGCAGTTCTGTGTTTTCTCCACTAATCCACTAACCTCACAGGCTCTGGCCAGTTGTGGGGACCTGCCCACTGGGCTACAACCTCACTACAGACTCTCTTTAGGTATCTCCTGGTGCTTCTGTTTCCATATTGAGCACTGAGTGACAGGCCCCTGGCATGAATCAGCTTTGTTTTGTTGGTTTGTTTGCTTGAGGTGTGGTCTCACTATGCAGCCCAGGCAAGCATTGGGATTAACCTGTGTCTCTACACCCAGACATAGAGCTCTCTCAAAATAATTTAGAGCAAAGTAAGGAGCACAGCCCACCATTACAGGGCATCGTAACAGGCTCCCTAACATCTCTGCATTGCTTCCCCTTAGCAGAAATGTAAACTCTGGCTACAGAAGAAGGGGATAGCTCTGCTAGGACGCTCCTTTAGGGGAACAGCAGAGCTCAGCTGGAACAGCTCTCTAGGAGAAGAGCAGGACTGATATATCCTGTGAGTAAACCGTCCCCCCTGCACCCCAGCTTCAGGGAGCCCAACTTTCCCTCCAGGGCTGAGGGCTTGTCCTTTTGTGGCTCTAGATTCAGCCTGGCTTCCCCGTAAGTCAGGCTGGCGCCGCAGCTCCGGAGCTCTGAACCTATAATTTCTCCATTTATTAGTAACTGTCAATTCTCCCCATTGCTTTCTTTGGTGTTATTGTGAATACATACTTTAGGCAGACGTGTCTGTCCTGCCAGCAGTTCCCAAGTAAACACACGGAGGCTTATATTCATTATAAATGTTCAGCCAATAACTCAGGCTATCTATCTAACTAACTAACTCTTATATTTAAATTAATCCATATTTTATCTTTATGCTTCGCCATGTGGCTTGGCAATTTTTCCCAGTTCAGTACGACATGTCCATCTTGCTTCTCTGCATCTGTGGTGACTCCTGACTTTGCCCTTCTTCCTCCCAGCATCCTTAATTTGGTTGTCCTGATGATACTTCTTGCCTGACTACCAGGCACTCAGATTTTTAATAGGCCAGTTGGAGTGACAAATCTTTACAGTGCACAAAAGGATTATTCCACAGCAACAACATACCAGGACCTAAGAAGTATTTTCAAGGTTCCTGTTATTTTCCCTTATGTGTTTGCATGTGTGTGAGTATGAGTCCAGGTACCTGTGATGGCCAGAGGCATTGGGTCTCCTGAAGCTGGAGCTCCTACTTCAGCACTTCATGCTCCTCACTGCTCAGCCGTCTCTTCGTTCTAAGACACTTAGAAAAATATGGCATTTAAAGGCTCAAACTGGAATAGGCAAAAGTCCATATAACAAATTATTGCTGTATTAAAAGATCAGGGCTGAGTTGTGTGTAGCTCAGGGTTTCCCCATTGATCTGTACCACCCCTGTTGTAAAAGTGTTGCTTCCCAGTGTTAGAAACAAAGAATAACTTCAGTGTTGCTTGCATAAAGGAACACACAAGCAAAAGTATCACAACAAAGTAATTTGTTTTGCAAAAAGGGTGTGCTAAGACCCAAACCAAGTTAGCATGTACTGATTAGAATGGTTGTCTCCTTTTGTCCCTGAGCTAAGTTCTGACTGGGGTGCCAGGAATGAGACAGAAAGTGAGGGTGCAGTGGAGAGGGCTGGAGTGGAGCAGGGTGGCTCTAGAGACTGGACCACACACACTCCACATCCCCTTGCCATCTGATCCCGCCAGTGAGAACTAGACTTGACAACCTGATGCTGTTAGCTAACTGGCAGGAGGGGGTAAAATGATCAGGAAAGAGGAGTCCTTACCAGGCTCAAACCAGCAAATGTTTTGGGTTTTGTTCTCCATACTCATAAAATGACCTGTGCCTTGTAAGAGATCATCCCACCAAACCCACTTTTAGTCCCTAGGGAGTCCCCACTGATGTCGTTGGCACCCCAGCTATTTGTATGTGATTCTGTCATAACTGCTCTTGTCCTCTAGTCTGGGAAATGAGTATATATAATCTGCAGGAAGGTAGGGGCGGGGCACATGGGGCAGGATGACCCAGGCTGGGTGAGGTTGAGGGGTCACCCATGCCCCAACCTTTAGTAAACAACTCTTCATTTTCATGCTCTGTGAGGAGGTTCAATAAACTCACTGATTCCCCAGCTTGGACTCAGAACAGTTAGAACTAAGATAGTTGGAACTAAATCAAATTTAAGAGAGGAGGGAAAATGGTCTTTAATATACAATTCTTCAGGAAGGGACACAGCACAGAAAAAAATAAAGCTGGCATGGTGATTTGGCACAAAACTGTGCTTTTTTTCATTTTAAAAAAGTTTTTAAATTTACATTAGTGGAAAACTACATTAGTGTGACATGTATATGTTAAGTGTGTGCCCTCAGAGGTCTATATGACCATGTTAGTGTATGACATGTATATGTTCAATGTGTGCCCTCGGGTCTGTATGACTATGTTGTGTATATGTTGTGCGTAACCTGTGCTGTTGGTTGCTGTGGGGCTAGAGAAAGTTACAAGAATTCTGAGCTGTCCTGGTCCCAGTGATGGAAGAGTTAACCACTGACCCATCTCTCCAGCTCCAACATTTTCATGTATGTACTGCATGTATATGAGTATCATGTACATTACATGAAATAACAATGGCTATCAGAAGAGGACACTGATCCACGTGAATGCTTGAACTCAAGTTGAATTTAAGCAACGAGTGTGCTTAATGACTCCCAACAAATCAACGGAAGCTTTTAAATCTTCCATGGAAAGTGGGACAGCCCACACAGAGTTCAGGATAGTCAGGGCTACCTGTGTCGCCCCAGCAACCCCCACACACACCTTCATTGGATAAGACCACTGTCCTCTTCTGCTATGGCCGGTCCAGCCTCCTTCCCTTCGTGAATGCCCCACCTCACTGGTTAGAACGAAGGCTTATATAGATTGCACTCTCTCGGGCCCTGGGAAGGTAGGTTGGTTCCAGTCAGTTTCAAGATGACAAGCAGGCAGCCACCAGCAGCTGGGGCCAGAGGGGCTAACACCTCTGCTCATCTGTAGCTGATGGCTGTAAGCTCACCACAGCCTCTGTTTCTAACAGGGCCCTACTCTGTATGGGAGATAGTCTCAGAGTCGGTCCCACAGAAACAGACAACCACTCAAGCACTAAATTTGTTTTATTGAGTTTGAAAGAAAAGGTGGTCATTTAACATTTCTTACCACGTACAAGAATGGAATAGTAGACGTTCCCAGTAAAAAGATTCCCACAAGAGCCTCCAAATAAAAACGTAAGTATGAATAAAGAAATGGGCCCAGGCAGAGAGCTTGAGCCTGGGGGATGACCCACATGGCAGTACAGAACCAATCCCCTCGACTTGTTCTCTGACATGCACACAGCCCCCACACAAATATTAAAAGCTGATCATCCCAAGGCACCAAAGAATAAAAGCTAAATGTAGGAGGTATTGTCTGTACATTTTACTAGCAATAAAATTATGTCCTAAATAGTGTACTGTTATAAATACTAGATACTCGCACCCCCCCCCCCCCAAAAAAAAATATATAAGCAAGACATTCGGGAATAGCAGTCTGTTTTGGGCCTTAGCCATGCTGTCATGTAGCCCAACTGGGCCTTCAATTTGCTACAGAGTTAAGGATTGAGCTGGTCTCCCTCCACTCCAAGAACAGGAATAACGGACTGGGCCATCACACGTGGTTTGGAAATCCTTTGTCCACTGGATGTACAAAAAAGCACATGCCTTTTCCAGGAAGTCAACCTGGGGCTAAACAGTGAGCCTGTCTCAAAAAGCTGCCCAAATAATGAACCAAAAAAGAAAGTAAAGGCTCGGGATGGGTGGGGGGGTGCACGCCTTTAATCCCAGCACCTGGGAGGCAGAGGTTGGCAGAACTCTTGTGAGTTCCAGATCAGCCTGGTCTACAAGCGAGTTCCAAGACAGGCTCCAAAGCTATAGAGAAACCCTGCCTCGAAAAACCTAAATAATAAGTAAGGAAGCAAATAAATAAAGCACAGAAGTGCAAATTAACTATATGTACATGCAAAAGGGGACTAAAATCTTTTCCATAACGTAACAGAAGCAGACAGTTGACCCATTACCCAGCTCACTGGTTTACCCAGGCTGGGACCTTAGACTAGGAGGAGTCAGTGGAGCATCCAGTTCCTCGTCGTTTTTTGTTTTGTTTTTCTTTTTCTCTCGAGTTAGGAGAGGGAGGCATCTGCGAGAAGACTGACAAAAACAAGTGGGAGAACCTTCCATGACCTTAGCCAGAACAGGAGCCCTGACAGCGGAGAGGGAATAGCGTGGGACCAGCGACGCGCCAGCTTCCGGTTATTCAGGAGAGGAAGAGGCGGGTCGCGAGCGGTACGCCGGAGCCAACGTGTAGCAACGGGAAAGCACGTGCTCAAGAGCCAATAGGGCGCGGGGCGCGGGGCCCGCCCCCCGGGGCGGCAGAGGAGCGGTGCGCTGCGGCGGCGGTATGGCGGGCGGGGCCCGCGAGGTACTCACGCTGCAGTTGGGACACTTCGCGGGTTTCGTCGGGGCACACTGGTGGAACCAGCAGGTCAGACTACGAGTGACGGCCCGGCGCTCCCTACGGAAGGTACATGGCGATGCCCCTCCTTCTCACTCCACTCAGCCCTCTGCACTCTGCAGGATGCTGCGCTGGGACATAGGACCGAAGACGACTCGTCACCTGGGGAGCTGTGCCCCGACGTCCTGTACCGAGCGGGCAGGACGCTGCATGGCCAGGAAACCTATACGCCACGACTCATCCTCATGGATCTGAAAGGTGAGGCAATGGCGGAGCTCAGCCAAGTTTTCCCGTTTTGCTTGTGAGGCCCTAGCATTGGTTCACTTTAGAACCCGCACAGGGGACAAGCCCCCAGAGGACACCGGAAGAGCAGACTGTTCAACTCTGGAATGGGCAGAGCCACGGCTACCAGCAGGATGGAGTCCAGATTCCCCATCCATCTAGCGTCTATCAAGTATGCTTTAAAAAGCCAAGTGCAGTACTTGGCGCGGTTGGGCACGTCTTTAATCCCGGCAGAGGCAGGTAGATCTCTGCGTACAAGGCCAACCTGGTTTACATAGTTGATAAGGGTACGTAGGAAGACTTCATCTCAAAAGCCAAACAAGAAGTTTTGCCAAGTGCTACCACACATCACCTGACAGGTGATCAGGTTGTCTGAGGGAGATGATGCTCTAGGCTTTGACCTTGTCTTTCATCTCTGTGCAGGCAGTCTGAATTCACTAAAGGAAGAAGGTGGCCTCTACAAGGACCGGCAGCTAGAGGCTGCAGTAGCATGGTGTGTGTCTGATGTAGGAAGCGGGGAGGGCCAGAGCACGAGCATAAAGGCTGGAGAGAGCATCAAACGGACATTTTTTTCACTTCATCTCCACTCTTTTTCAGGCAAGGGAAGCTCACCACACACAGAGAAGAAAAATACCCAAAGAACCCTAACCTCCAGGACCTTCTGAGTGCAGAGGTGATGGGGTCACTGCCCTAAACCTTGAAACCTACCACAGGCAAAGTAGTAAGGCAGAAAAGGAGGCATCTAGCCACTATAAATAGCTTAGAAACATTCGATTTTGGAAAAAGCACCTTTGGCTCTAAACGGGCAGGAACCTATAATCTGGCTTAGAGGCTAAGTAAGAATCCTCGCCTCTCTTTCAAAGGACCCTGAGCTGAGTTCCCAATGCCCCTTTCAGGCATCTCAAAACAACCTGTGACCAGTTCCTGGGGACCTCACCATTTTCTGGCTTTTGGCAAGTGGTGCACATCAAATCCACAGGGGCACACACATAACACATAAGAAAAAAACACAGTAGAGGAGAACTTCCTAGAACTAAATGTCATTTTTCTCACCCCTCCCAGGGAGTGCTGAACACTGATGGTGTCTGGAGGACCAAACCTATCCAAAATGGCAAAGGTGAGATGTCCCTTGATGCTGGAGACTAAACAGAGCAGGGACTCTGGGGAAGGCACAGCTCATCTGCTCTTTCTTCAGGCTGCCCACTAGTACATCCCTGGTACAAATCCAAAACCATTTCTCATACAGAGAACAGCATCAGAGTCTGGTCAGACTTCCTCAGAGTGCATCTCCATCCGCGGAGCATCTGTGTGATTCAGAAGTACAACCATGATGGGTATGGGGACTCCATCTCACCTGCTCTCCTCCAAAACAGCAGACTGGGGAGTTAAGGACAGGACTGGGGTTTTATCACGGTGATTTTTGGTAGTGAAACAGGTCGCCTGGAGGCTTTTGGACAAGGGGAGAGTATCCTGAAGGAGCCCAGGTACCTGGAGGAGCTGGAGGACAGACTACATTTCTACGTGGAAGAATGTGACTACTTGCAGGTAGCTATGTGACAATGCAGATGCTAGGGTAGACGCTCGTCTCATGTTCCAGTCTGCATTCTGTTGACCTTCTCTCTGCAGGGCTTCCAGATACTGTGTGACCTGCACGATGGCTTCTCTGGAGTAGGCGCTAAAACTGCAGAGCTACTGCAAGACGAGTATTCAGGACGAGGAGTAATAACGTGGGGTCTACTCCCTGCTCCCTACAGTCTTGGGGTGAGTGGAAGCTGGAAGAAAAGCAGCAGGGTTGGTGGGAAGGAGATGACCCCACTGAGGAAGTTATGTGGAGCAACCCATTCTCATTTCTTTTACCAGGAGCCCCAGAAAAATATCTATCGTCTCCTAAACACAGCATTTGGTCTGGTGCACCTGACTGGGTACAGCTCTTTTGTCTGTCCCTTATCCCTGGGAGGACACCTGGGCCTGCGACCCAAGCCACCTGTCAACTTCCCTTACCTACACTATGACGTAAGGCTCAAAGCTCAATTTATGTCAGGCTCTATTTACTACGCCTCTGCTTCTCTCACCCCTACCTCCCGGCCATGTATATGTGTTGCTAGGGATCGAACCTAGCACCCAACACATACTCAGGAATCATTTTTAACACCAAGTTGGGTTCCCACCTTAAACCTGACCTCTTAGCACCTTCTGTTTATCCGGCCACAGAACGAACAGCCTTACTTCATTCCTTAGATCTCTGCCCTTGATGTGTTTTTCCACACCCGAAAGACCCAGTGTCCCCTTCTGTCCCACTTGACAGGCCACTCTGCCCTTCCACTGTAGCGCCATTCTTGCTACAGCCCTGGACACAGTCACAGCTCCCTTCCGCCTGCGTTCCTCCATGGTTCCCATGGCTCATTTGGCTGATCTGCTAAGTTTCTCCGGGAAAAAGGTAAGAAGCTTTCTGAGGGCCTGGCCAGAGCCCAGGGAAGGCTCTGTGACCTGACGCCTCCTGGTCTGCAGGTGGTAACGGCAGAAGCAGTCATCCCCTTCCCACTGGATCCAGACCAATCCCTTCCTGACATCCTGGGACAGCTTGGAGGAGCCATCCCATGGACCCCACTCTCTGCTTGCGGGGATTCTGCTGGAAGGCGGTGCTTTGCCCAGTCAGTGGTGCTCAGGGGTATAGACAGAACAAGTCACACCAGGTAAAGACCGGGTTGTTAGAGGTCTTTGTTCCTGACAGTACACTTTCTTTCGACTGCCATCACTGCCTCACATTAATACAAGCTCTGGACTGACCCAGCTTCCAGTCCAAGGGTGTAAGAATTCTTAGCTCCCATTCATACAGCCAAGTATATGTGGGTTTGCCTTTGTTCTGGCAGTAAGCTCAACCCAGGGACACCTCTGCCTTCGGCTCTCCATGCGTGTGCCTCTGGAGAAGAAGTCTTGGCCCAGTATTTACAGCAGCAGCACCCTAGAGTCTTAAGGTCGGTTTGGCACTTGCCCTTTCCCCAGGCTGCCAGCGGCCTCTGTGGCTCCGCTCTCTGAGTTACCACTGTCTGCCTGCAGCTCATCGCATCTGCTGCTGACCCCCTGCAGAGTGGCTCCTCCTTACCCACACCTCTTCTCCAGCTTCAGTCACAAGGGGCTGGCCCTGGATGGCGCAGGTAGGACACTTGAGCCACACAAGAGCAGTTTTACTCTTTGTCTTTGAATGAAAAGTGCTATCCGGAGAGTTCACAGTTGAGCGTTCCTCCACCCGACCACAGCCCCTCTAGGGTGCTGGCGTACTAGGGCGACGACACACATACTTAACTGTTTTCTTTACAGTCTACCAAGTCCCCGAGTAGACTCCGGCTCACTTAGCAACCCTCTTCTCTCCCTCTACAGCAGTGCAGAGCATCCCTGTGTTTGGAGCCTTGCGCTCATCTTCATCCTTGTACCACACCCTGGGAGACTTGGCTGAAGAGCTTGCCAGACTTGACCTGCGGCGCTGGGCGAGCTTCATGGACGCTGGGGTAGAGCAGGACGACATGGAGGAGCTGCTGCAGGACTTGCACAGCCTGGCCCAGTGTTACCAGGAGGGTAACAGCCTTTCAAACTGATGTTCCAGGGAAAGGGATTGGGGAGATAATTTGTAATAAAAGCTGCCGGGTGCAAGAACCCAGTGTGTTAGGATTGCTGCAAGACAGCGAGTTCACAAAAGAGCCAAGCCCCATTATCCACTATTTACAGAATGTGTTTTTAAGGTCTTCACTGAAGTCCCTGAGAGAGACACAGGCCGCAGAGCCATCTCCCAACTGGCTCTGTCAAGGTTCAAGGTCTCTATGAGTCAAGTACAACCACCCTTGTACAGAGGGCTGTTGGGTTGGGCCCAGGGTTTCATTCATCCAGCTCTTCTTCAGACAGCAGGTCCCCACGGTCAGAGAGCTGGTCTGCATTGCTGGTGCTGGTGGCATCATCCTCATCCTCAGAGCTGGCCTCACAGGCTGTGTGGAAGAGCTGCACGAGTTCTCGGAAACGGTGGGAAACCTAGC